TCTTTTTCTTTCTTTCTTTTTTCTTTTTCTTCCTTTCTCTGTCTCTGTCTCTCTCCCTCTCTCCCTCTCTCTCTCAAAAGTGCTTTTTTCAGGAGGCAACTGGACTTTCTGGTTTTTGTCTTTCGAAGATGTTTTGCTTCTCATCCCAGAAGCTTCCTCAGCTCCGATTGGAGGGTGATGGGGAAGGGAAGGATTTGTACCCTTTGCAGACAGCTGGTCATTTGCACCCTTCTTAGAGAGCCGTTGAGGCCACGTTAGAGGTTTGCCTGTGTCCTCAGGGTCACCTGAGCGTTGCAAACAGGTATGGAGCCTTCTTGGAACGGAGCCTTGTGGTGGACTCCACAACCCTTCGCACCACTCAGGTGTCCCCGAGGACACGGACAACGGCTCTCCAAAACAAAAGGCCTTCGGAGAAAAACACAGAACGTCCAGTGGCCTCTGGAAAAAGCACTTTTGGGAGGGAGGGAGGGAGGGAGAGACAGAGGCAGAGAAAGAAAGAAAAAAAGGAAAGAGAAAAGAAGGAAAGAAAAAGGAAGGAAGGTAAGTAGGCTGGTTGGTTGGTTGTTTAGTTCTGGTAAACTCTTGCTGGCTGGGGGATTCAGGGAGTTGAAGTCCACAAGTCCTTAAAGGTGCAAGGTCGGCACCCCCGCAATAGAGCAAGGGCTGAAGAGGGGCTGCCCCAAAGAAGGGGGGGGGGGGTCCACCCATTCTCCAAAGCACCAGAAGGCAAGACCAGAAACAATGGATCATCAAGGAGAGAAGGAATTAAGGAGACATTTTCCTAATAGTGAGGACAATTAGCCAGGGGGACTCCTTGCCACCAGAAGGCGTGGGGGCTCCAGAACTGGAAGGTTTTTTAAGAAGAAGCTGGGGAGACCTTCGTCGAAAATGGTTTAGGGCAGGGGGACCAGTGGCATTGGGTCTCCTGCTTGAGTGTGGGGTCAGACTAGAAGGCCTCCCTTCGGAGACTGTTATTCAATCGCCCCAGATCGATTAGTCGGTGGAACCGCTTGCTACTAGAAGTTGTGGGTGCTCCGACCCTGGAAGCTTTTTAAGAAGAGACTGTCTAGGCAGGGCCTCCTGCTCGATCAGCCGGCTGGACTGGAAGACCTCTAAGGTCCCCTTTCCAGCTCTCTACTCCGATGGAAGATACGTACTGAGGCCGCAGTGCCGTCCGTCCTTCGTTGATAATGGCAGCTTTCTGACCGCAGTTTGGGTGGAAGAGGAGGCGTTCGGGTTCCGGCTCGCTGCCCCCGGCGTCGATGGCCCTCCGCCCAACGTCCGGCGAGAGGGCTCTCATGATGGCGTTGTTGCGCCGAAGCCGGTCGCTGTGGTTGTGATTGTGCACGATGGTGACCTTCACGGCCATGCCGTAGAGGTCCACCACGCCGTAGACCACCAAGGGGGTGAGGGTGGTGGCGACGCCTGCAGAAAGAGAGGGCAACGCCTCAGGGACACATTTGACTCGCCCAAAGCTTACGTCCGTTGCTATGTTTGGCGTCCTGGCCCGGCTTGGGGGGGGGGGGGGGGGGCGTTAATTCTGCAGGTGGTCCTCAGCTTACAACCACCCTGCAGCCTGTCATAAAGTGGGTTGCCCCCACACGACTGACCTAATGTTACCATCTTTTTTTTTCTTTTTTGCACTGTCATCTCTTTTGTTCATCAAATATGAAGCTCAGTCAATGAAACATTTAAAAATGCGTCACAGATCTCACTGACTGGCTCTGGTGGTTGATATTATTATTGTTATTATTATTATTATTATTATACTTTTATTCATCAAACATGAAACTGACTGCCTCTGGTGGTAGGTATTAATATTAAAGTGATTGTTATTATTATTATTATAATATTCGTCACATATGAAACTGCCTCTGGTGGTTGATATTATTGTAATTATAAACTTTATTCATCAAACATGAAACTGACTGGCCCTGATGGTTGATATTATTGGTCAGCTCTGAGATTCAGCTGCCAAAAATGTTAAGGAAAAAGGGGGGGTGGAGGAGTTGGAAAGTTCAAGGCTATTTCGTATGTCGCATTAAAAAAATCCCAGCTGCAGTTAATTGGTTCTCGTGATTAACGAAGTGTAAGAAGCGGGAAGAGAGAAGGGTGGATTTTGTGAAACCGCTGAAAATGACTTCGGTTTGGGAAATATCCATAGACGTGCCAGAGATGTTCTAATAAATCAATTGGAGATTATACTTGTCTTGGAGTGATTCATTACCATGGATAATTTCTGGATGCCTATCATCATCATCATTATTATAAACTTTTATTAATCAAACATGAAACTGGCTGGCTCTGGTGGTTGATATTATTATCATTATCATTGTGCTGTCCCAGTCAGCCTATGGGAATTGGACAGTTACTTAGGAATTATGAGCTGTCCCCTTAAGGGAATGCATCATGGGAAATGTAGTTCATGTCACGTGGCCACATTTGTAAACCTGATTGGTCACTAAATTGACTCTCGAAGGGTTGGGGGAGGTTTTTGCCTGAACTCTCTAACTCATGGCAGCTTCTTTCTATCGCTACGAGATGGGTTAGGAGATAACCATCTTTTACTTTTCTGCCTTTTTTGCACACAGGTGGACTTGAAGCTGTACAGATGCAGAGAGATAAACTCAACAAGATGTCCATAACAAATTACATTTATTGGTTCATCGTGTATCCTCATAACACACATTTGTGACGAAGTTCTTCTTTAATGACCAATCCTTTGCATATCTGCCTTGTAGTAAAAGGTGGTTATTTCCTAACCACCTCGTAGCGATAGAAAGCAGCTGCCATGAGTTCGGGAGTTCAGGCAAAAGTGAGGGAAACTCCCCCAACCCCTCAAGGGTCAATTTAGTGACCAATCAGGATTACAGATGTGGCCACCTGACATGAACTACATTTCCCAGGATACCTTTAACTACATTTACCATGATGCATTCCCTTAAGGGGACAGCTCATAATTCCTAAGTAACTATCCAATTCCCATAGACTGGCTGGGACAGCACAATCGGCATTATAGATTTTTATTCATCAAACATGAAACTGACTGCTTCTGGTGGTTGATGTTATTATTATTATTGTACACAAAAATGACAGTATACGCAGCAGACGAGATAACCATGCTGGGTTTCGTATCACAAATCCTGCCCTGGGATAGAAGCTGTTTTTCAGCCAATTTGTCCTTGTTTTCATTCTCCTGTACCGTCTGCCAGATAGTAATAGTTCAAAACAAGGGTGCCCAGGATGAGATAAATCTTTGAGAACATTTTGAACTTTCTCAAGGCAGCGGGAGTGATAAAGCGAAGAGGGGAGAGGGCAGCCAAGGATCCTCTGGGCAATGACATTAACCCCCCTGGAGTGCTTTCCTATCTGCCCCTGTGCAATTGGCAAACCCCACACAGGTGCAGGAAGTTAAGATGCTCTCTATGGTGCAGCGGTAGAAGGTCACCAGCAGTTTTCCATCCAGTTGTTGTTTTCTGAGAAGCCTCAGGTAGTATAATCTCTGCTGGGCCCTTTTGACCAAGGCTGCAATGTGAGCCCCCCAGGTCAGGTCCTCTTTTAGGGTAACACCCAGAAACTTAAAACTGGCCGGATGGAAAAGGAAATAACAACAACAATAATAATTGGTTGATATCTGGGATGCTGGTGGCAACCCGTATCAACCATCAGTGCCAGTCAATGATAATTGTGATACATTTTTAAATGTTCAGCTGGCTGAGTTTCATGTTTAATGAATAAAGGAGATATAATAATAATAACTAGTTGAAGTACATTACAATATTAATGAATGAATAAAGTATGTATAATAATAGTCGTAATAATAACAATCTCTTTTATTCATTAAACATGAAAGTCAACTGAATATTTAAAAATGTATCACAAATCTCATTGACTGGTACTGATGGTTGATAAGGGTTACTGCCTGCATCCCAGGGGATCAATTTAAAAAAAATTATTATCATTATTATTATTAATGAAATTTGCAACCCATCCTGTAGCCAGTGACTCTGGGTAGGTTACATCATAAAAACACTAAAGAATTAAGAAACATTAAAATCTACGATCATAGAAACACAGTAAATAAAATCAACCCCCGATGGAAAAGGAGAGAACTGGGCACATGGGAGGCAATCCTTGACTTACGACAAAACCGGAGCCTGACATTTCTGCCTTCAAGTGAGACAATTCACTGAATTTTACGACCATCCTCGCCAGAATCACTAAGTGAATCCCCTGCGGTTGTTAACAACCTCGATGTTAAGCGAATCAAAACTCCCCTCCCCCCCGCCGGGACACTGCAACCGTCATAAATACGAGTTGGTTGCCGAGCATCCGAATGTTGATCCCTGAGTCCGTCGGGAGGCTGCGACGGCTCTTCGGTGCGGGAAAAAACCGGCCGTTAAGTCACTTCTTTCAGTGCCGTTCCAACCGCGGCCACTAAATGAACTGCCGTTGAGGACCACCTTGTAAATGCGGCCATATTTAAGCTGATGTGGCTGCTTTAAATGAAACCGTGGGTTTTTTTGCCCAAACATTGGAAGTAAACACAGATTTGGGGCCAAAACATCACATGCTGCAGTCATAATTTGGGAAATATCGCCATTTTTGCCCCTCTCTCTCTCTCTCTCCAGCCCCAGCTTTGCAGAGGGGGGGGCTCTCATCCCTGAGGAGCGTGCCCACCTTGGTCAATGCCGTTGATGTAGAAGTGAAGGGCGTTGTTGGATTTCCGGGTCAAACCGATGTGGTCGCCTTCCTGTGGTGAGAAGACACAAAGCGGGGAGGGAAGTTTCTCCAAGGGGGGGTGGGGGGGGGGGGGGGGCTGCTACCGGTTCACAACGGTTCGCGAGAACCGGCTGTTAAATTTTTTTTACACCTGGTTCAGCGGACCGGTCGTTCCGGCGACTGTCCGGCCCTGCCCCACCCAGCCTGACCCTCTCAGGAATCCGCACGCGGCTCGTTTTGGATCGCAAAATGAGCGGATGTCAGGATTCCAGCAGTTACCCTCCCAATTAAATCACGAGTCTCGAGCCAAACTTCCAAAACTTCCAAAAAAAGGATTTATTGGGGAGTTAAACATGTTGGCACTGCTTGGGTGCCGCCGATTCTGAGGCACATCATTCCTTGTCACCCTTGACCCTGGTCTCCCCCTCCCACCCCGCTGGGTTTATCCTCATTCATATCCTCCAATGGGACACGTCCATAGCCCAGAGCCATCAATCATGCTCTCCAGTTAGACCTTTGCACGGCAGGAACTTCAGTCACCTAGTTACTATCTCTGTAAAACGATTGATGGAATGCAGTTTTGGTTTCCAAGCTGCCTCACTGATCCCTTTCTGTTGGCAACTTTAAAAAGACCAGGGAAATGTTTCATGAGTTGACAGCAGGGTCCGTGCAGAGGCTCTGGGAGGGAGAAAAACGGGCCTCCCGGAAGTTTGGAAATGGTCCCGTTTCCTGTCTCCAGAGTCCGGGGAGGGCGAAAACGCCCCCTCCCCATGGCTCCATTTTCGCTCCCGGGGTGGTGCAGGCAGCCAAAGAGAGGATGCCCACTACGGCACGCCCACCCAACTGGGAAGAGAACTGGTTGCTAAATTATTTGGAGCCCACTGTCAACTCATGAAACGTTTTGCATACATGTTTTATAGTTGACAACAGAAAGAAGGCGGGGGGGGGGGAGAGTTTTAAAGAGCAGGCGGCAGTGTGGAATTGAAAGTCCGTTCTATTCATATTTTCTTTAAAGACTGATTAGATGATTGAAGCTTCTGCCACGAAAAAAATCTACTCGGAGAACATGATTGATGACTCTTGGCTAGGGACGTGTTTCGTTGGATGATACACCCAGAGGCTTGGCGGGGGGAAAGGCAGGATCAAGGGTGACAGTGAATTATGTCATCTCAGAGTTGGCTACGCCCAGGTTAGTGCCAGACGTAGAATGGTAACTTCAAATATATCCTCTTTAGTTTTGGAAGGGCAGCTCGAGGCTCATGATTTAATTGGAGTAACTGCCGGAGCCCCGACCTCCACCCCTGGAGGGGAGGGTTGTCCAAAAAGGAGGGAGGGGGGAAGATCCAGCTTGTCGGGGTGGGCAAGGACGAGAAGGGGGCGTCGAGCTCACCTGCAACTCATCCAAGCTGAATTCGCAGTATTCCCGTCGGGTACCTTTCCCGTTGGTGAGAATCCCGCAGCCGCTCATCATAATGGTTCCTTCGTGGGTTGAGTGGAGCATGACAAGAAGAACTGAGTGGGGACAAGGGCCGGCTCATTTGACTCCCCTCCCCCGGGGGGGGAGTCCTCTCCCCCCCCGCCGCCAACGGAGACCCCCCCTCCCCGCCCACACACCCCAGCTCTCCCCTGCCCTCTGGATACGCACGAGTCGGGAAGTCACCTGAGCGCAGGTTCGTCATGGTGGCCGGATACTCCAGGTTGTTGGGGTTGTGGGTGGTGACCCCGATCTCGATGGAGCCCGACCACTTGTCCACCAGCTTGTCGATGCGGATCTGAGGAGGAGACAAAGAGGCAGCTTGAACTCCCCGGCCTGTTTGCCTTCAAAATCTCTCTCGCCCTCTTTAAAAATGGCGGTTTTTTTTGTTTTTTTTCTCAATCTGGGCGATGTTTTGAACTCCTAGAATTCCCTACCCTGGCCGTGCTCAATTCGCTGGTTATATTTCAACTGAGAATTGTTTGGCCTAGTGGTTGAGACCGAAGGCTGGAAAGTGAGAGAGGGTGAGTTCTAGTCCCGCTTTAGGCATGAAAGCCATCTGGGTGACTTTGGGTCAATCACCAGGAGACGGGGAGTTCTAGTCCCGCCTTAGGCATGAAAGCCATCTGGGTGACTTTGGGCCAATCACCAGGAGATA